GGGCGCAAGGGGCGGCGCGCAGGCGCAGAAGTCATTCCCTCTTGTCCTGTCGCTTGTTACTTGGCTCAAGATACTCATTCCCCCTCTCTGCACCCTCCTTTCAGGGAGCTGTAGAGGGCCATGAGGTCTCCCCTCAGCCTCCTCTTCTCCAGACTAAACCCCCAGTTCCCTCAGCCGCTCCCCAGCAGACCTGTGCTCCAGACCCTGCACCAGCTCCGTTGCCCTTCTCTGGACGCACTCGAGTCATTCAATGGCCTTTTTGGGGTGAGGGGCCCAAAACTGAACACAGGAATCGAGGGGCGGCCTCACCAGTGCCCAGTACAGGGGTCAGATCCCTTCCCTGTCCCTGCTGGCCACGCCAGTGCTGACACAAGCCAGGATGCCATTGGCCTTCTTGGCCCCCTGGGCACACTGCTGGCTCCTGTTCAGTCGGCTGTCAATCCCCCCCCAGGTCCCTCTCTGACTGGCAGCTCTCCAGCCGCTCCTCCCCAAGCCTGTAGTGCTGCTGGGGGTTGTTGTGGCCCAAGGGCAGCCCCTGGCATTTGCCCTCAGTGAAACTCCCCCAGTTGGGCTCAGCCCATGGCTCCAGCCTGGCCAGGTCTCTCTGCAGAGCCTCCCTGCCCTCGACTTAAAAATAAATGCTCTAAGCCGATGTCTCCATGACAGGCTGTTCACTGCCTGATAAACCAAATAGCTTTACTTGCAATATTAATGTAATTCCCAATGTCCTCATGTAAAATAAACCTTTCTATGTTACATAGCAATAAAGCTACAAGGTTTATCCAAAGTTAGTTTACTAAGTTCTATTGACAAGATTTCATCAATTATCATGTAATACTGACTTCATGAAACGAAGATCTGATGGATGATATGGCTGCACTCTAGTGAAAAGAAAATCCTACTTTTCTACTAATTTTGACTTGAGCACAATGACACAAACAGAACTATCAGTCTGAAATTTTTGCCAGCACCTGGCAGCTGGCCACAACTGAAGTAAATAAGATGCGTACTGGCAATTCTCTGAAGATTTAATTAGCATCTAACTTTTCTTACTCAGACAACCAGAGATACCATCACATGAGAGAAATGTAAGATTTATTCCCAAGCAGGACCCCAGTAGTGTTGCACTGACCAGAGGTCTAACAATAACCATGTTAGTGCTGACCATTTAAAAGGAAAATAATTTTTGGTTTTGGTCAAGCCAGGACCAGAAACCACCCACAAGATCTGCTGGTTATAGCAAGTTTTATCTCATTTCTTAGTGTTTTCACTGCAGACTGTTTCCTCAGTGAAAGGAAAATTAAATGCTGGGAAAAAAAGAACCCATAAATACTTACACTATAAAAATATAGCTGGACTTTTGTGGCCTTTCTGAGAAAGATGACCATTTTCCTCCTGGTCTATTTTGCTGCTCTCTTGTTTTGAGGATTTTTATTTTGTTATCTGGGGCCTAGCATTACTTCTGCTGAAACTGAATTCCATAAGGAGGAAGATCTGGTTTCAAATATAAAAGGGAAGGGGAATGAACATTTATACATTTATTTCTTTTTACAGAAGAGAAGGAAAATGAACTAGCTGGAGGCTTTGCTAAATAAGCAAAAGATGAAGCTCTTGTTAAGACAACCCCATCCCTGGGGACAGATTCTCAGCAGAGGGAGTCATCAGGTAATAGTGACATTGTCTTTTATATGTAAATGATCTTTAATATAAAGCACAGCTTTTAGAGATGCCAGCCTGCTGGCTCTTCAGCAAGGCAGATTACACGTTGAGGTCCAGAGTAAAGCACTCAGCCAGTGTAAATTATCACCAGCTCCACTGACTTGAAAGAATTCCAGACCAGAAGGGATCATTGGATCATCTCAGCCAACCAGCTGCATATAAATCTGCCAAACCAGTGACCCAGTTACACATGCACTGAGCCCAAAAGCTCACTGACATGAATAGATTTGTGACCTGTGTAGACTACTCCACTGAGCTGTGATGATCTGGTTTGGACTTGCTAAAAGTTCCCCATTGAAGACTAAGAATATTTGGAACTGGCATCCTTTGGTGGGCTCTGCTGAAGCTCAGGGAAAGCTGCATCCTACCCTATATTGCCTTTCATAGAAGCATCTGGTCGCCACAGGGCACAGTGGCTACCTAGGGAAGTGTCACTGAGTAACAGGACTACACAGATAGTAATCACAGACTAAACAGATTGTTTCAAATGAGGCTTTGAAAATATAGTGGGCTGTACAGAAACTTGGTCTAGTTTCAAATCCAGGCAGATTTTTTTTCTTTATTTTACATAATAATTTTAAGTGAACGATAAAAGACAGTGGGAGGGTGGAAAGCAGTTCATTATTGCAAAGAGGTGCATTTTTGGTCCATAACACTGTGTTTTGATAACATAGTTGCCACCAGAGAACGTTTTAAACCTTATCTATGCTTTCTACAAGAATTTATGACAAGTTAGAAGGGGAAGACTTTACTTGAAGTCCATGCAGATGAGCATTCCATCTGTCTTCAAAATATACTTTGACAGGAGCTGTGGCTGGCCTGACAAATCCGGAGACTTCCTACCCTCCCTGGCTGCGTGAATACTGTAACAAAGTAGAAAACCTTCACATGCCCCTTCCTTCCTTCCTTCCTTCCTTCCTTCCTTCCTTCCTTCCTTCCTTGGGACTTCAGTTCCTTCAGAACCTCAGAAGGACTGCTCACAAGGAAATACAAGTCTAGAATTTTGAAGAATTTTCCAGTCTAAACCAGAAACTACTGCTTTACAACATTCCAGCTGCTGAGTTACCTTCTGTTTTTTCATGAACACTTGAGGGCTCACTACTCATAAGAGGACTACCCTATGCTTCTATCATCTAAGTATCTTAACTGAATTGAAAGTAATGTCTTCAAGATTTGGTTTAAGATGTTCTGCTTAATCCTTGTAATGTGGTCTTTTAGCCTGTTTCCAGGTAAGAATATTAATTTCCCTAAGCAAAGAAACTTCTCTCACAGCATTAAAGCTATTAAAGCATCACAGACCCAAGGGACAAAGGAAATTTTTTACATTAACAGATTTCAGATTCTCCTGTACATCTTTCAATATTACAAATAAAACACATTTTTAACATGTCAATTTGCATTGTAATTGACCGCTACAGAAGGTTATTTTAGACTGTGGTGGATTGCAAAGTTCTGGGAGGAGGGACAGTGTCACTACCAGGCTTGAATCAGACTGTGTGTACTATAAGACATCAAAGAATCCACATTTGAGTGAAGCCATTACTGTACAGGGGACAGCAGAGGCTCTGCCTCATCTCCAGGTGAAGAGCCGTCTCCAGAGGACCAGGCTCCAGGATCTTTTCATCTGAAGAAACAAATAAATTACTAGCTCTTGGAGTCACATGAGAACAAAAGAATTTTTAGCTAGATTTAGTCTATGTGGTGGGCGGAGGAAGCAAGCAGCTGATTCAATGTGAATGATAGAGCAAGCTTCAACTTTATTGAAAGAAATCACACCTTATATAAGCACTCTACAGTAATCATGCATACTACTCACAAATCTATTGGATACATGTAAAAAGGCTACATTTTAATATCCCAGCCCCTTGTGGTATTTCAGGTATGCATAAACACCTTCCCTTTTCTGAACCCGTTTTTCTCCCAGGGCTGTTTTTTTTATCACCCCCAAGGTCATAATGTACCTCAGTTTCTCTCTTTGTTAACATAACGGTCCTTTGTTAGCATAACTGTACCCTGGGTTTTTTCCTTTGTTTACCTCAGATGGCTGCAATCAGTTTCTGCAGAGACCCATGGCCTTGCTCTCTGCAAGCCGTTCTCCAACAAGTCTAAATTAGTTTAGTTTCAAAGAAGAGTTTAAAAGCCTTAGTCCAAAAATCTCAAAATCCACAGGACAAAAATCCACAGATGAATCACACACATGGACAGATGTATGATCTATCATTTTTAAAAATAGTGGAGTGTCAGTTTTATTCCCTTAGGACACAGAGAAAGGCATGATCAGATCCTTCTCCTTCTGGGGGA